AGATCATTAAACTGACACACACACACATTAAACATACATACACATAAAAAAGACAGCAGCGGCACACAACTGAAATATAATGGCTGATTGACTGATCATGAGCGGAGCACCATGGCCTGACGTCTGCTGTATCTATACACATTTAATCTGGAGATTATGAAAGACAACCAATGACCCACAGTATTTCAAATACAGGACATCTTTATTTAGATCAGTCTACTATAAAGTTAGTCTCCTTGACTCTCCCTACTCCAAAATCGGGAAATGTTATGAACGCACATACTGTGTGTTTTTAGTTACAGATCAATTTACTTATATGTGGATATACGTAAAACTTGTTTTGTGTTTAACAAAAAAATAATAATTTAAAACATAATTTCTGATAAGCTTAAATTGCTTTGTTATAAATACTGTACAAAATTTTTATTTAAAATAATAATAGTAATACTATATATATATATATATAGTATTATAGTATATATATATAGTATATATATAGTATATATATATATATATATATATAGTACTATATATATATATAAATATCAAAATAAAATTATTTAAAATATTATTTAAGAATATATACATTTATTTTATTTACATTACACATTTTCTAATAATTTCATAAAAAAATAATAAAAATATATATTTTAACATATTTCATATTTATTTTAAATATAAAATAAAATTATAATTGCAAATATATGTTAAAAAAATTTCCTCACAAACCAAAATAATTTATATAATGTTTTTTTTATAATTCTTAAAACTTTTCATTTTAAACACTGTATAAACAATGTATATATATGGACATATATAAAACATATATATGTTTTGTTTTACCAAAATAAATAAATAAAAAACAATAATAAATGAAAAAATAATAATATTAATAAAACTACATATTTTCTAATAATTTTAAACAAATCATTTTGTAATAAATACTATATCAAATAAAACATATATTTGAATATACATTAAAAATGTTTTACAAAACAATTAAATAAAAAAATCTAATGAAATATTAAATATATTATATGATAATAATATAATTATATATATATATATATATATATATATATATATATATATAATTAAAATAGAATTAGAGGTAAAATACTTTTAAAATATGCTTAATATTTATTATTATATTCTTGTATTTATTTATATTTTATTACTTTCTTTTATTTTATCATATTATTTAATTTATTTTTATTTTTTTGTAATGCATTTATATTTGTATCATAATGACTTTCACTTCATGAACCAATAGCATATAGCATATGGTATGAGATACAGCTGGTGGCCATGGTGACAGTAGTTTACCTGAGGTCGGTCTCAGAGAGCGTCCTCTGGTTCTTGTCCTCCTCAGACTCCTCCAGCTCTACACTTTCTGTCTGTCTGCTGAGTTTCCCTGTTTTCCTTCTGCTTCCCCTTTCCTCCTCTAACCCCCCCACCTCCTCCCGAAGACCCTCCCCCTCCTGAAGCTCCTCCCCCTCCCTGCTGAGACTCCGCCCGCTGATGTGGGTGGGTGTGGCCGGCAGATGCAGTAGCAGAAGCAAGCAGCATGCAGACCATAAACCGCACAGAAAGAATGAACGAATGAATGACTGAATAAAAACAACAACACACAGTAAAATCAACAGAAAACAGAATGAAACGTTTTGTTGCAGAACTAAAATGCATTTCAATGAAACTAACTGCATTCACTGGCATGGAGTGAAAGGAATTTACAAACTGACAGCCTATATGCAAACATAGTTAGAATACATGTATTCTAAATAATAAGTAATAAGTGTGTATAATTCTCATCTCACCAAGGCTACATTTATTTCAGCAAAAAATGATCTAATGTTGCTAAATAATATTCATTTAAAGCAATTAGATCATGAAATGAATAAATATTAATTTAAAGATCACATTACTGCATATTTATAAAACATAATAAATGTTTCAGCTATTTGATGTTTTATGTTATTCGAAATTTTTATGTAATTAAGAATTTGGCACTCCATAAAAATGTATTAATATTTTTGCTATTTATGCCGCTTTATATTTTTTATAGAAATTTTAGCAACTTTTTTAGGACTTTTTGGATTAATAAAAACGCTCAAAAGCTAAATATTTTTTTCATTTAAAGCAGATGGATGTATTATGAAATTCATAAATATTCATTGAAAATATCATTATCATCATCATTATTATTATTATTACATATTTTTACTTTTTTTGTGTTATTTTATGTTTTATGTTATTTGAAACATTTATGTTATTTAAGATTTTCTCGGCACTCCAAAAATATTTATGCTGTTTATGCCGCGTAATATTTTTTGTAGAAATTGTGGTGACTTTTTTAGGACTTAATAATAAAACAGCTCAAAAGATAAATATTTTGTATTTAAAGCAATAAGATTTATTACAAAATTAATACATATTGATTTAAATATCATCATTATTATTACATATTACATAATTTAAAAACTATAATGAAGATCTTTTTGGTGCTTCATCAATATTTATTAATATTTATTCTAATTATGCTGCCTAATATTTTATAGGAATTTTAGATTAACAAAAAGCTCAAAAGCTCAATATTTTTTTTAATTATTTGAGAAATAAAATATGCAGTAATGTTTCTAAATGAAATTAATAAATATTAATTTAAAAATCATCATTACATATTTTTAAAAATATTATTAAATATTTATGTTATTTTATGTTTTATGTTATTTAAAATATTTGTTAATTAAAATTTTATTGGCGCTCCATAAATATGTATTAATATTTCTGTCATTTATGCTGCTTAAATTTATTTTTATATAGAAATCGTGTTTTTTAATGTTTTATGTTATTCAAAATATTTATGTAATTTATTAATATTTATGTTATTAATAGCACTTAACCTTTAAAAAAATATTAAATAAATATATATATATATATATAATTACCAAGTTTTTCTTAAAAGAGATACAATTTTTTAACCACTTTTTGTAGATAATACTTTGAATAACTAATTTCTAATAAATTATTTCTCTTGTCTTTGCAAGGATAACAGAACAGAACATTTTACTAGTTATTTTGTATGATATTATTGAACTTAATCAACAATTTAAAGATGTAAAATTCTTGAAGGTGGCTAATAATACTGACCATAAAAATAGTTAAAAAATACAATAAAATCACAAACTAGCCAAGACATCTGTCTTAGATGAGAGTGGATTTCCTCCATGCCAGTTCACACACAGTCAGCTATTTGCCACCAAACTCACATAAATACAATCAAACCTTAAAAACACTCAGATCCAGACGATAACGAACCATAGAGGTGCTTTTTCTCTCAGGCCATGAACACACTGCAGATTAATATGACCTGCACTCCTTTTCAGAGTTCAGATATTTACAGGAGTGAAAAACTCATTCTTTAAATAAATATAAAATGGAACAATAGAGATACAGTATGGGAAGTGTTAAGGGTAACGCATTACAAGTAACGCGAGTTATATAATAATATGGTCTAAGTAATGAGTAACGTATTACTTGAATTAGGCTCTAGTTTAAGCTTCTGCAATGAAAGTATTCTCATAATTTTGAACACATTGAAGAAAGGTAATGGGAATTGTCTCAATGGACAATGATTTTACGTCACTAATAAGACAAAAAGTACAAAAGTATCAAACACATTGCTTTAAACTTTTGTTAACCTGTATATACGCCATATTTAGCTCAAGGGTCATTCTCAGAAGATAACATTAGAATTATTATCATTTTTTATGTGATTTTTTTAAAAAGGTAAATGTATGTTACAGTATACCGTGTGTTGTTAGAAGATCATTTATCTGTTTAATACTGATTTAATCAGCTGTAGTTTAAAATTACGCTAGTTTTCTCTTGGGGTTTATTATACTGTCTCTGTCCCCATCTTGTGGATGATAACTGTCTGCTCAAAAATAGGCTAATGGCCACCGACGCCCTGTCTCTCTGAAATTATAAATATTTAAAAATAAGCACTATCCTTATAAACTGCATAGTTGCAATCTAAACAACTACAATCTCTACTAAAATGCCTCAAAAGTACATTATTTGTCAAACTGTAGAGTGTCCGCATGTTGCTGTATGTGGGCGGAGTAATACACAAGGGTGAAGAGGCATTACGAGTGTTATTACAGGCAGAATAAAAACCCCTTGAATAAAATTTTTCTTCATCAAATATTTCTTAAATTATGTTTAACAGAGCAATTTTCACATGTCTGATAATATTTTGTCTACAGGAGAAAGTCTAAATATTTTTTTGTTTGCTAGAATAAAAGCAGTTTTTCATTTTTTAAAAGAAATTAGTTATTAAAACTATTATGTTTAGAAATGTGTTGAAGAAAAGAAATTGGGGAATAAAAAGGGGGGCTAATAATTCTGACTTTAACTGTATGTACACACACACGCACGCACGCACACATATATATGTACGTATATACAAGCAGTGACTTTTAATATAATTGAGTTTAAGTTATTTTAATAATAAATTAAGAATAAATAAAATTAAGAAAATAACCTTAAAAATACTACAGAAATTTAAAAATAGGAATATAATTTAAAAATTATACGTATTTTATACTATAATGGCAGTGATTTTTTGTTTGACTGAGAAAAAATATTATTTATTTTATATTGGTAAATTGAAAGAAATTAAAACAATAAAATATTATTAATATAAAAATATTATTAACCTTTACATTTTAATTTTATATGTTTCTCTTCTTTTTCTATTTTATTTAATTATTTAGAGTTATAAAAAAGTTTTAGTTATTATAATATTGTTTTTAAACAAATCTTAGTTTTCAGTGATTTAAACGACTGACACCTCTGATTCTTTACAGCAATAAAACCTGAAGATTTGACTCCTGTAAATACACGCAGTCGTCACTTTAAAAGCATGTGCATGGTGTAGATGGCCTGAAAGTGCACTGACTGTGGCTGAATAGTGATTTGTAGAATCTGCATCTCACCTGATCTTCCTGCTGCCCCGTGGCCGCTCCGACTGGACAGAGATGTAGCTCATGCTGCTGAATCGAGATGCACTGCTGGTTCTCGACACAGCGGACACGTCGCTCACATCACTGTCCGAAGACTTGGCCGACAGGTTTTCTCCACGCTGAGGATCCCTGCCGGAGCGCTGAACACACACAACACACACATACACACAGGGTTAGTTTGTTATGTCACTTTATGTATTAATTCTGTTTTTTGTTTTGTTTCTTTCTTTTTTGGGAAGTGTTCTGTGTATTTGTTTTCTCTGCAGGAAGCAGACAATTTTTAAACATCATGTTGGCTATTTTATAAAAAAATATATATATATTTATATTTATAATTTTTGTACAATATTATTTTTTAAAATAATTTTATTACTATTTATAACTGTATTTTAAAAATGTATTTATATATATATATATATATATATATATATTTTTTTTTTTTTTTTTTTTTTTGGCATTTTATTACTCAGTTTTAACTCAATATTTCACTTTATCACTCAATTTGACTACTCTTTGCCCAAAGCTTATTGAACTTATTGCCTAAACCTTTGAACTGATTTGACCTTAGCTGCACTTGCAATAGTACCACAATGACACTGCTGGAAACACTGTGCTCTTTTCAGCCAATCAGATAGCTTAGCTGGATCTGAATGATCATGAAATAAGCATGAAATATGTTTGGTGACCCACTATCAAAAGACCCATACGCGGGTCAGTATGCTGAAATTCAGCACCATGTACGGCTGCTTGGACTTCTCTTTTTGTCCTTTTAAGCCAGTGGTATGAAAAGCCTCACACAGCCCTATGAGTTCTGCAGAGTTTTATTAAAGAAGATAAAGACAGGATTTGTTTGCTCTGTCTAGGGTAACGGCGCCATCGGATATTGGATAAACAATGTTTATAACCATCATAGCAGACCATGAACACCTTACAAATAAACATGTTACATAAGATGCTATAATACCTCTCCACGTCTGTCCGGGACAGATGAGCAGGAATACTTTACTATAAACACACCGACTTCTCTTTTTAATGATACTTGTCATCTCTTTACGAGAGCATTGCGTCCAATAGCATCATTCATTTTCCAATTGTTATATAATTATGTTTTTGTAATTTATTAATTATAAACATAGTAGTGATAATTAGTATTTATAATCATGAATAGTAGATTTATTTATTTATTTTGAATGCATTTATTATATGTTGTTGTTGTTGTTATTATTATTATAGTATCATTACAATTATTACTACTTAAAATAATAGTTTAAATTTGTTTTATATACTGTATAATTTTAAGTTTTTTGCAATTAATTTTTTATTGTATATTATACTTATTAGAAGTTTATTATTAGTATATTTTATATTTGTTTAAAATGCTGATATGAAAATTTAATATTAATTTATTTATTTATTTAAAATGCAAATATCGAATTATTATTATTATTATTATTATTATATGTTATTGTTGTTTTTGCTGTAATCAAAAGTAGTAAATTATAATGTTAAATTATTTTTTATATTTTAGGTAAATTTTGAGATACCTTCATAATAATAATTATTATTATTATTAGCGTTGTTATTATTATCATTATTATTATTATTATTAATAATAATAATAATATTTGTTGCTGTAATAAGGTGTAGTTATTTAACAATGCAGTAAATAAATACATAAATAAGTAAATAAATAACTAAATAATCGCTGTGGAGCAGTAGGTAGTGCTGTCGCCTCAAATCAAGTAGGTCGCTGGTTTGAGCCTCAACTGGGTCAGTTGGCATCTCTGTGTGGAGTTTGCATGTTTTCCCTGTGTTCACGTGGGTTTCCTCCGGGTGCTCCGGTTTCCCCCACAAGTCCAAAGACATGCGGTACAGGTGAATTGGGTAAGCTAAAATTGTTCCTAGTGTAGGAGTGTGTATGGATGTCTCCCAGTGATGGGTTGCAGCTGGAAGGTCATCTGCTGCATAAAACATGTGCTGGATAAGTTCCCGATATATTTTGCTGTGGCGAGCCCAGATTATTAAAGGAACTAAGCCAAAAAGAAAATGAATGAATGAATGAATGAATGAATAATAATACTACTACTAATAATAATAATAATAATAATAATAATAATAATAATAATAATTACCATTAATGTTGTGATTTCATGAAAAAGGAGTCATCATTTCCCCCAGCTGATATTATGGCTTTGAATGAGTGGTTGGATAAAGATGTAACAGCTACAGTATATGACATGTATTACACCTGTTAAACACTTTTAACTGACATTAAGTGATGCCATTGATACCACTAGTTGCATTATATATATATATATATATATATATATATATATATACATATATGAATGTATGTATATAGAATAACACCTGTAGTATGACCTTTTATGTCAAAATGAAAACTGACTCACGATTTACTCACCCTCAATTGGTTTTAAACCAATTGTATATTGGGTTTATTTTGTCTAGTGAGCACTAAAAAGGATATTTAAAAGGAGAAAGCTGAAAACCTGTAACCATTGACTTCCTTGGAAAGAATAACAAATTCTATAGAAGTCAATGGTTACAGGTTTTCAACTGTCTTCAAAATACAGTTGAAGTCAAAATTATTAGCCTTCCTGTGTTTTTATTTTCTTTTTCAAATATTTGCCAAATGATGTTTAACAGAGCCAGGAATTTTTCACAGTATGTCCTATAATATGTTTTCTCCTGGAGAAAGTCTCATTTAGAGTATTAGCCCCCTTAAGCAATATTATTTTCGATTGTCTACAGAACAAACCACTGTTATACAATGACTTGCCTAATTACCCTAACTTGCCTAATTGCACTTTAAACCGAATACAATATCTTGGAAAAACAACTTGTAAAATATAATTTACTGTCAGAAAACAAAACAGAAATTGGGAAAAATATACAGGAAGCTAATAATTCTGACTTCAACTATCTTCTTTTGTGTTCAACAGAAGAACACAACTCAATCAGGTTTAGCACAAGTGAAGGGTGTGTACACTAAATGATGACATTTTCAAATTTGGGTGAACTGTCCCTTTAAGAAAGCGATAGTGTTTTCTTGCCTTGTGATAGTCCTGCTCCAGTCTTGAATCAGAGCCGGTCCCCTGTTTATATTTGTTCATCTTCAGCTTCATCTGCCGCGTTCGCTCCTCAACATCCAGAGCACCTGCAGATCACACCACACACCTGTCAGATAAACCTTAATGGAGGAAATGCTGGAAAAAAAAGTGCCTCGACATGTCAGCGAGGCAAGAACACGACAGATCTGTGCAGTTTGAAAAATGAAGAAATCTTTCCCTTCAACGACACTAGCTTTGAACGACAACTTTTAATTAGCATATGATCATACAACACATCTGTCAGCTTAAAACAACACTGTTAATGAAAAATACACTTAATCAAAAAACTATTTATTAGTAGAATTAAAGTCTGCGTGAACTGAATGTTAATGTACTTCCACTTGAAACGGAATATTGAGTAGGGGCGGAGCTTATTTGTGCATCATTCCCCTATAGTAAACAAAGAGCTTAGAAACCCTGTGATTCCGCCATTTTGGATTGAAAGCGATCGGCCATCCATTGGATCTTATTGCAGTTGCGATGGCAAGCAGCTGCTTTGTTTTTTTATTTATTTATTTAAAAACCGCACTAAAGCTGAGATACAACCTAAAAGACAACAATAGAACACTTACTATCACAAACATCAGCACTTCTAATAGTTTATTTTACAGACTTATAATATGCTGTTTCATTCTAAAATGGCTGCCACATGATACTAGCGGCATCTAGTGGCTGTTTCCCAAATTGCACTAAAGTGTCGCCTCTTGGTTGATTCTATGCTCTTTGTAGCAAACTGACGTTAGGGGGCGTGGCTAAAACTAGTGTGCCTAAAGCATCAAACTGATGTCAAAAAAGGAGAACAGCCACTCCAAAGACACAAGCCAATGCTTTTTTTCCCAGTCTATTAACTTGCATGGATTAACTGTTCACCTAAAGCAGGGGTCACCAATCTCGGTCCAGGAGGGCTGGTGTCCCTGCAGGGTCTAGCTCAGAGGTGGGCAAACTCGGTCCTGGAGGGCCATTGTCCTGCACAGTTTAGCTCCCACTCTAATCAAACACACCTGCTTATAGATTTCTAGTGATCTTAAAGACACTGATTAGCTTGTTTAGGTGTGTTTGATTAGTGTTGTAGCTAAACTGTGCAGGACACTGGCCCTCCAGGACCGAGTTTGCCCATCCCTGGTCTAGCTCCATCTAGCCTCAACACGCCTGCCTGGATGTTTCGAGTACAACTAGTAAGACCTTGCTTAGCTAGTTCAGGTGTGTTTGATTAGGGTTGGAGCTAAAATCTGCAGGACATTGGCCCTCCAGGAACAAGTTTGGTGACCCCTGACATGAAGAATAGCAATGTGGTTTTATCTTGTAGGTGCTAGAGTGTTATGTGTTTTTAATTGTATTATGTGATCATTAGTGTATTATAAGCGGTTGTTCTGGTGTTTTAGGTGGTCATTTCTATACAGTTGTTAGGGTGACTCAGATGGCTTCAGCATGCAGTTGCTATTGATGTTCTGTCAGTTTTATTGTATTATGCAGTAACTATGGTATGATCTAAGACAGGGGTGTCCAAACTATGGCCCGTGGGTAGCCTGTGGCCCACAATCAGTTTGGCAGTCACCCATGAGGCTTTTTATAAATATTAATAGAGTCTGGCTCGCTGTACAAAAATGAATGTAATTCAATAACTAACCACTGGGTGTTTATCACATGCCTTCAATTAGGCAGTATTTCCTGCCATGACGTAAAACAATCAGACTAAACTGAATAAAACTTTTTGAGAGACAAATAGGTGACTGCAATGTTGTGCATTTCCCTACTCTGTCCGAAGTTATCACGAGTAATCCACATGCCAACATACCGGGGAAAATGAAGAAATACGCAACAGCACTCGCATTCCTCATTACAGAGTTTAATCTCTGTTTTCACAATTTTTCCACTATGGATTATGACATTAAGCTGTTCTCAACCCCTTTCTCTGTTAACATGAAAGAGGACGTACAGGAGGACATGCAGCTGGAACTCATTAAATTCCAGTGCCATGATTATCTTCGAATTCGCCACCGGCTTCTTTCACTGTGTGAGTTTTACAAGAGTTTGGATTCATCCAAATTTTCCTTGATGAAACGCCTTACACAAAGGATGCCGAGTCTGTTTGGCTCCTTATATATACGCAAGTAAACATTTTCAGTGGTGAATCTAAACAAAAGTTTATTGCGAACCAATCTACTGTAACTGACAGCCACCTCTGTGATTTGCTACTTGTACTACACAACTCAGTTCTGACTCGGCATCAATTTTGAAAACCAAGGCAAAACATCACTGTTTACATTAACAGAAATTGTGAGTTAAATATATATTATGTTTTTATGATCATAATAATACACATACTACACACATTATATGCGCCTGTGTGATTTATGTAAAATTTGGCCAATTTTGTTGCATCTGGCCCTCGGCCCAAAAAATTTGGACACCCCTGGTCTAAGAGGATGCTATAGTGGTTTAGGTGATTTCAGCATATTGCTATGCTATGTTCACACAAGACGCGGTATGCGCAGATAAATCACGCTATTCGTGCGTAAATAGACGTGTGAACATTTTGAGTTTACTCGCTTTATACACACGTCAAAATTCACTTCACAACAGATGCGGATTTGCATCATGGACAGGGCTTCTGTCTGCCCGGTGAGTCTAGCTTTGTTGCTAAATGGTTAACATAGATTTTATTGAGAGAATAGCTGGGTTTATGTGCTTTATGAGGGCTGAAAAACAGCGTCGATATGTTTGGAGCCGAGTCCACTAGACCCTTTCAGAGGTGCACCTGAACTGTGAGCTTATCAACTCCTCTAGAAACTTAACCTTGATGACGTCGGGTGTTAACGCAGCATTAGGGTGGAATTCACCCGTGCAAACATGTTTGATAATCTAATAACGATATAATTTGCAAATATTTGAGAAATGTTGCAAAATCACAGTGAATTACAGCAAAAGTGCTGAATGACCAATCAGAGTGCTAGCCTTAGCTGACGCCAGTTATACATGCTGGATATGGTCAACTTGATCCGACGTTAACTCAACAAGAGGTGACATGATGGCCTGATAAAGCCAACAACAGACCGTCTTGTCCTTTAGGTGGCTTCAACATATTGCTATGCAGTTGCTAGGGGGGTCTTAGGTGGTTTTAGCATGCAGTTGCTAAATGTCTTTTATTGTATTATGTGGTCACCATGGTATGATCTAAGTCAGTGTTTCTCAACCACGTTCCTGGAGGACCACCAGCTCTGCCCATTTATCAGGGCTCCTTAATCAAACACACCTGATTCAGATCATCAGCTCATTAGCAGAGACTGAATGACCTGTAATGTGTGTGACACAAAGAAGACATCCAAAAGATGCAGCGTTAGTGGTCCTCTAGGGACAAGGTTCAGGTTGTAGTTGCTAGGGTGTGATTTATTGTATTATGTGGTCACTATGGTATGGTATCATTGGTTATTACTGTGGTTTTTGTGATTTTAGCATGTTGCTGTGTGGTTGTTAGGGCGTTTAAAGATGTACAGATGTTCAATGTGTTCGCTCTGCCGCCGCACTCACCGTCGCAGCAGTAAATGCGCCAACAACTTTTGATTACTGTGTGGCGCTTTAACCATAGACTTCGTCAGCTAGGCTCAGACTACAGAAGTTATAAAATCCTAACCGATTACAAAATCTGGTTGCAGTGCACAGGCGAGGAGAATCTTCGGCGGTTTAATTACCTCAAATCTTAAACGTGCGCACACTACAAGATTTGAAAACGTCAGCACAGCATGCGCTACAAAATTATCGTGAATTTTGGAGCACATCACCTTATTGCAGTATAACTTGCTACATCAATAATTATTATTCATTATAGGCTAGGTCAAAAATATTTGACCAACTGCCACTACATGCAAAACACTCTCATGCACTCAAAATCGGTTTACGTTTGCATAGCTATTAGTGGCAGATATAAAATTTCATAGGGTATTTCCAGCTACTTTGTATTTCTGTTCGTTCGCATTCCGTTCCTTTCTGCCCCCTGGCGACATAGTTGCAATTTGCTGCTACACTTATAAACACATTCTTAATCATTTAATGTTGTGGCGGTGCCACTCACGGCGGTAATGGTCCTTTTGAAATGTCACCCACTGTTTCAGCATATTGCTATGCAGTTATAAGGGTGTTGTAGGTAATTTTAGCATGTTGCTAGGGAGTTCTGTGTGCTTTATTGTATTACAGCATGTGGTCACTATGGTATCATAAATGGTTGCAAGGGTGGCTTAGGTAATTTCAGCATGTTGCTATGCAGGGTGCTTTGGGAGGTATAAGCATATTGTTATGTATAATATCATATTATCATATTTTAATGCAAACACATTATTAATAGGTTACTCTGATGAAGGCAGCTCTCTGTTGAAACGCATAGGTTTTTTTAAGGACCATGTCAGCAAAGGCTTTTTAATATTTTTTTCCAAATTTTTTGAGTGCCTTGGACTGATTTTTGTTGTTTATTCTGATGAATCGCTTACCCAAATGGCACAGACACATTATTTAAGCAACATCTGAGCACTTTTTGTTTGATTTTGGATTTTTATAACATTAACTTTGTTAAAAACCTGTAATCTGAAAACCACGTTATGAAACTTGTTTGTAGAAGAAAGTAATATAAACTTTTCAATCTTTCTGGTTGAAAGACAACAAGCATAAACTTAAACCAACCATTTGCACAAGCAAATAACAAAGTTTGTTTGTGGCACTGATCCATGCAGAGCAAACTACATCTGTCTTTGTCAGAGCAGGTGCCCTAAATGTCAATAGCAATTTTCTTTTGCCAATAGCAATTGTGCTGTTGAGTAATTAACATGTTCAGCAATTACCCAATGATTAGTGCTCTCAGAATCATTAGATTCATTTTGGATTTAATTGCAGCGATGGGGTGAATTTAATATATGCACATATGTGTTTTTTTTTGTTTTTTTGTTTAATAAATCATAAAAATGTCACAGTCAAAGTGCTTTCAGAATGCTTTGCATCTTCTCTTAATACACAATACACACTCAACAGCTTTTAATCTTTGTTTCAGTATAGCAGTTTAAAAGGCAAAAGCTCAAAACACACTTCATCCTCTAACTTCTAAGAAAAGAGCACACAGGTATGATGAAAAGTTCACAAGAGAATAAAAGTGGATGCAAATTAAAGTCACAAAACCATAAACAGCTTCTAAAAGTAGCAATGATGGAATGTATCTGCACTAAAGCTATCGTAAAGCTTCATTAATTCCAGCCATAACCAAGAACTGTCTGGTTTGAGATTCTGGTACAAAATCCCAAAGTTTATTTTCAACAATATTCAAATATAAAGTGTGATTTTAATTTTTATATTAAAAAGTGCATTAAAGCACTTCAAAAGTCTTAATTTTGCTCTTTAAAAAATACAATTTTAAAAACAAATGTTACTATGCAAGGATGCAATAAAATGTTCAAAATTGACCGAAAAGATCTACAAAAAGATTTATTTTTCCACCAATTACTGGTGTTTTCTTTTTATTCGAACAGAATAATATATAAAAACAAGTCTCACATTTTCTTTAACTATAATGCAGTTTTCAACATGGAAAACCAGCATACAAACATGATTTCTGTCTAATATGACATTGAAGATTAGAGGATATTTACTTGTACTAAATGACATTTTAACATATATTTAAATATATATATATTTAAATATATATATATATATATATATATATATATATATATATATATATATATATATTCTAACACATCCATAGCTGGGTCTCATTTCAGAGGCTGCATCCTCCGAATGATGCATTCGAAGGGTGCTGTGTAATCACGGTATGACGAAGGCTGTCTTATTTTAAAAATATGAAAAAATAATTATATATAAAAAAAATTAAGGGCTCCTTTAAATGCAGCCTCAAAATGTGTCCTTCATTTCCCAGGTAATAAAGGATACAACCGATGGATCCTTTGTGGCTTCGAACATCCCTACACTAAAAAAAAAAAAAGATTTTTTTTTTGTTTTTTTTTACTTGTTCAAACTACTTAATTAAAATAAGCTGGAACAACAAAATTCTTGAGTTTTCATTGGGAACACTTAATTGTTTTATGTTCAATCCACATAGATTTGTTTAAAGTGTTTAGTTAACTTAATACAGAGTAGATTAATTGCACACTGATAACTGCAGGGCATTTTAAAAAGAAAAACCCGGATTAAATGTATGACTTAGGTTTATTTTGCTTTGAAATCTAAACACGTTAAAAAACAAAGAGAGTATGAAATGTCCCACTAAAAAGTGATTTTATAGCCAGTTTACATGTTTATATGTACATATATGGATCAAAGGAAATATATTTCCAGCTTCTGTAAGCCTTGCTTTGCCTTCAGATCTCTTAAAATAAGTTTAAAAAACACTTTGAAGAACAAAAAGTAATTAGATCTGTCCCATGTAGGCTAGATCGTCTCATTTCAAAATACTCGGTTTGGCTGGTGTGGACTTCGAAGGACTCACCTTTGAAATTTGCATCCTTTGGAGGATGCAGCCTCTAAAATAAGACACAGATCATGTTGAGCACAACTCAAACAATTCCACCCTTTTTTAACATAAGAACAAAAGGAATGGTACATTTATAATCATGATTATAGCTGGAGCTGGTAAAGGAAGCCTGAGCTTCAGAGCAGAAAGAAACTCCTACGATTTCCGATCAACAAAAGTAGGTCACTAAAACAGTCATAAAAAGAGCAGTGAAGAAGAGTGATGGGTTTAAAAAGCCAGTGAAGACAAAGAGTAGAAAGAGATGATGTTCGCTTTTCAAGCACAATCCCAGCGTTTACTCCTCTACAGTTTTTACACTTACATATTACTACTTACAAAATGATGACAGCTGCGGTAGAATAAATGTGTACTGCAGGCCAAACTGACGAAGCCTGAATCTTATAATATATGCAATGGAGATCAAAATCAGTGATTTTGAAATCACTGCTTAGTCAAGATTATCAGTTGACTGAACTCACCGCTGTTTACTGACTGTAAACACAGATGCATTAATGGACTTGCTCTTCAGTTTTTAACCACTCAGTAGTGATTATTAAACCACACTGAACTGAGCTAAACTGAACTGAACTTAAACACTGAAAACTGGACTGACACCATTTCAATTTACTATGATCTTCTATGTAAAGCTGCTTTGACACAATTACATTGTGAAAGGGCTATACAAATAAAAGGGAATTGAATTTAATTGAATACAGGGACACTGGAGTATTTGAAAGCCACAAAGATCAGCTGGTTTGTCTATAAGCTGACATACGAGCGATTTGCTGATAAATCATGGCTTTAAAACGCTTCAGAATCAATGTAAGTGTGTTTACACTCAGTAAACAGCGATGAGTTCGGTGAACTGATGACCTTCACGGCCAATCACAGTCATTTCTGTTGAGCATGTCAACACAATGCAAATCAGCGCTGCTTAAGAACGAGCTCCACAGAGGTCAAATATTAACGGAAAAATGGACGTTTTTAAAAATTCAGTGTTGACTGGTATCGAATTCCAGTTTAGGCCCGTGCACACCGAGACATTTTTTTGCTTGCGTTTTCCATCAACGTTTAATGCCTCGTGACTATATAAAGGGCGTCAATGTGATTGTGAACACCAATGCACAAAACGCCAGGCGCAAAAGTGTCATTAAAAAAAACGCCTCATGCTCATTTTTTTTTTTATTGACGCGCCACGTTAAAACCTTCTCCACCAATCAGGTTGGCACTTTTGTTCACGTGCACAGAGCTGCTTTAGTTACAGTAAACAGCAATTGGAGGCGCTCAAGCGCAAAACTGTTAATGCGAGCGCACATTGAAGAAGATGCCCAGAGGCGATATGAACGTGGAGCTGCTTATTGCTCTGTGAACAATAATCATTTCTTCATCGCTAGAGCTGGAGCTGCTGCTTGAACCATCTATGCTTGTTTGAGTCACTAATAACTTTAATAACAAGCGTGTGAACTTCCTCTCATCTTCTTCTGTGTTACAAGCGAGTGTCGAAAGCTTAAAGTTGTGTAGCGCCATCTGACGTCAAGGAGTGATTTTGCATATTCTTCTGCTAGACGCCAGTAAAAATAACTTGGGTTTGAATGCGGAAAAATGTCTCGTAAAAATGCTGACAATAAACGCAAACGAAAAGCGTCCCGTTGTGTAGGAGCCTTTGCGCCAAATATATGCCTATTACATATCCATAACACACTGTGATATAGCCTAGTTTGCTAGCTCATTGGATTGTATTGCTTTCTCACTACAACCGAACCGCTTTAGAGTTCCTTTCAACTGAGCCAAGACCACGCAATCTCAGACCGACAGTTTTGCCGTAGATCACGACACAATTGCGGGTTTCACATATGCCCAAACAAACTGAGCTAATGGGACAAACGCACCAGGTTCTAAAACATAACACTAGGTGTGAAAGCAACCTAAGTTTGTGTCTATATTCAATCAGTGCTCGGCTTTTGGGCGAGCTGTTCTTTTAAGATGGCGGTGGCTGTTATTCTTCCAGCAGGTGAATGGAGTGCGACAAACATAGAGGAGCTTAGATACGCGTGGAGAACGAGGAGAAAAGCAAAGCAGAAGAAAGGACAGACCTGAGTTTGTCCGACTGGGGGAGTCCGAGTCTTCTGGGGGTGAAGGGTGTGAAAGGTGAACGGGTCACATCACAAAAATGGACAGACAGACAGACAGAGGAGAGGGTTGTGAGAGGAGGAGTGCAGAAACAAAGGACGAGACACCAGGGGCAAAAACACATGGGAGGAAACACAACAACAACAAACAAACAAACAAACAAAAATGAAAGAAATACAACACGACAAGCAGATCAAAGCACAAACCACAAGATTTAAATTCAGTCAAACAGAAGGAAAATAGCATTTAAGGAGAGGAAAAGAAATATCAACACTGTTCAGAGGATAAGGATGCAGAGCAGTCAGTCCTGCTTAAAAATAAAGCCTGAAATGCTAGAAGAGTGTTAATAGCATGCAGACAACAATGATTTTTAATACCTGTGGAAAGAAAGAGAGAGAATGATCCAGAAGAGAAATAACTTGCTAAATTATTTGACAAGACCGGGTCCTGTTTGGATTCTTAAGAGATATTGATTGATAACCTGTAATAATACCCTAGCAAAAACAATAAACATTTGTTGCACAAAACTACTCGGTCTGATCTCATAAAGAAAAGTTTGGGAAATTTTTTTTTAATGTTCACAAAGAATGCATTAAGTTCAAAAATCTGAGTAAAAACATCCCAAAAAAAGTAGTGAGCTTAAGAGGCTTCGTTCAACAGACATAAAAAAAACCCACCAAGCTTTTTAGTATGTATTTAGTACAAAACAAAAGTCAGAACCCTCTGGACGCACTGACGGTAATTCGCTGAGTGAACAACATCATTGAAGTAACATTAAGAACTTTTATTTAGTTTAAAAACCATTTTGCAGGCTTTCATACTACGTATCATTTGCAAAAAATAAGAAACGTTTAATGCATCACACCTTGAATGATGCATAAATCTGTAAATGACCATAAGCTTTACTTCCATACAACCTCATTACATCCAAACAGGCCACAAGTTGCACATTTTACATTAAATGTCTAAATGCATGAGCGTTAAAGGAATGCCACTAAAACAGCTAAAGCTAAAAAACACCACTTGATCTGACAGACTGCCAACATTCGTAAAAAATACAACACAAGATTGTACAAAAGATCCTGAAAAAATATCAATGAAAACATTCTGTACGCTAATTAATGAACAATTTAAAGAGGTAATGGAAAAGCAGTGAAGTTTATTAATGAACTAATTTCAGGAGGATCACGTGCTTATGATTGCTTACAGCTGGTCCTGCATTATTCAATTTATAATTCACCAATCAGACAAAGTTCCATTTAACATCCATCTTCGTTTTGAAGAATCCCCCCTTCCACCCCTACTCCTCCTCCTTTCCTAGATGGGTGACAGTGGCCCAGTGGTTAGCACTGTTGCCTTACAGCAAGAACGTCACTGGTTCTAGTCCTTACCAAGCCAGCTGACATTTCTGTGCGGAATTTACACGTTCTCCCTGTGCTCACGTACTGTAGGTTTCCCCTGAGTTCCTCGTTCACCTCACACCGCCCAAACATGCAACTTTAGTTAATTGACTAATCTAGATCGGCACCATAGGCGAGTAAGTAGTTAAAGTAGTTAGTAAGTAGTTATCTTTTAAGAGCAAATCACTATCTGTTCATTAGCTACTACAGTAGGGGAATTCTCGAGATCTACTTGAGTGCAAACTCCCCTCTCGCCTTACAAACGGGAGGGAGCCCTGGGATCGAGGATCTTATGAGCTCAGGGCTCTCTCCCAGGACATCATGCCAAACAAGCTTTATAATCAATCATCAGCGAAGTGTGAACTCTTGAAATTAAAAAAAAAAAGTTCCGGTAATATTTGTGGGTCTGAAAAAAGGTTTTAAAATGTTAAATTATGGTGTTTTCATATCTATGTAAACAATTTGTGTGAAAATGCTACATGTGCAGTCTTTGTATCCCTACAATGCATGAAAACTAGCATGTCATCAAGTGGATCTCTAATATTGCCATCAAAATTAATAACAGGAACAACATAAAATTAATGTCTGACGTTGGCATCAAAAACATGTAATAAATCGATTAAATGACATTGCGGTAATCATTTTTGAAGTGTTTTTGATGTCAATTCCAGATTTTTGTCAATTTGTTGTTGTTCCTGTAATTGATTTGTTATGTGTTTTTTGACGCCAATGTTAGATGTCAATTTGAGTTCATTTTGACATCAAAGTGTTTAATCAACATCAAATCGATCTGCATTTTGTTGTGTTTTTGATGTCGTTTTGAGTTTGGGAGTGTACCAAACCTAGGAACTTGTGGCAAGCGTTTTGCCCATTATTTGATTGGTAAAAAGACAGAGAAGTTGCCCATTCCCGAGCACTACATCTTGCATTGTAATGCCCGATTTACACGGAGCTTCAGCGACAATGCTTGACAGAGGGTGTGTCTGAAGTTGGGGCTGACGCGATTGTCATAGCAGCCTCAGCCAATGAAATTAGTCAGCAATCGGCTACTGTCTGAGCTGATGTATTTGCATACAATGATCAGATTGGCTGACGCTTCTTTTGGTGCTTGAAAGTTGAGAACTTTTGCAGCGAGCAATGCCACTAAAGCAACCGTGATGGACTCACAGTTCAGTTTGGCAATGCTTGAAGTCACCCATTCAAAGTGAATGGGAAGAGTTGAGCTGATGCCCCATGTGAATGGGCTGTAAAGAGGGTTTGAACGGGGCGTCAACGCTTCCCATTTACTTTGAATAGGTGATGTCAAGCGTTGCCAAACTGAATTGTGGATCCATCTGTGCCAATTCAGTGGCATTGCATGCAGCAGAAGTTGGGACATTCTCAACTTTTCAAGCACCAACGGAAGCGTCAGCCAATCAGATTGCTTTATTCAAATACCCAAGCTCAGACAGTAGCCTATTGCGAACTATTTTCTTCATGCTTTGATGATCGCGTCAGCCCCAACTTCAGACACGCCCTCCATCAAGCGTTGATGCTGAAGCCCCATGTGAATCGGGCGTAAGAGTCAATCAGTTACACATCAGCCATTGGACTTTACCACTAATTCCCATTGATCACACAAAGCTTCTTCATTTAGCTTATTTGCTCATTCTTATGGCATCTAAGGACGAGGTTTTGCACTAATTAGACGCCATTATCCTCTCATATTCAAGTTCTTCAAATTCTGCATCTTCACAGAGAACACAATGTGCTGATACGGCTCATTTTTTTTTTTTTAATATATATATATAATTTTTTTTTCTTGGTACTTCATTGTTCTAGGGCTTTGATACTTGTGGCATTAATCACACAGAGACATTGCGTACATGAACTTGTGTACCCAAGCACATTTCTCCAGAATTAATCACCCACAAGATGATGCCTTTCCACACAGACGCCAGTACTGATGGCACATTCATTAGCTGGACCCTATTAACTACAGACACACACACACATCTCATCCAAAAAAATTCCAGATCTTTAAAGCAAGAAAAATGCTGTACTAAAAGTGTTGCTGATGATATTTGTTTTCTTGTATTGTTTGTGTTTAGTTTGGAAATATATTTAACACAGCGATGCATTTCTCTGAATCAGTATTCATCATTTACAGCTCTATATTTTTGCAGTGTTCTGAAAGTGGAGATGTTTTAAAGTGGAACAGTTTAAATGTAGTTTAATGAGATGCTTTCTAGTGGCTTCTGATTGAGCAAGGTCAATGCACACTTAGAGAGCATGTCTACTGTTTTAATGTCAGCAGAAACATTGAATGCTCATTACCTTTTAAAAGTAAAATAATCCAAAAAGTGCACATTAAAGTAATAATATATTATTATAATGTTTTTAGACAAACCTGGAAACATTTTACCATTCAAATCAACCAAACCACCATTCAAAAGATATGGATAAGTAACAGTTATCATTATAAAACAGCATTACTTAAAACCATATCTTTTAATTTAATAGCTAATTCATATAAGTTCACATTTAGCAATGACATATTAATTTGATCGAAGGTGATGGTAAACACTTTGCCATAACAATCATTTTTAAATATTTGAAATTACATATTTGCACTGTTAATTAACTTCAAGATATATCATGAAATATATAAATTTTGTCCAAAAATCCTTAAAAATTGTAATGTTAATGTAGTTTAATATTTCCACCGTCTAATTATTTGATGAGCATAAAATACTACAATTCCCAAATACGAATAATATTGTATGTTGTATCATTGCAATAAAAATAACTAACCGCTTAATTGCATTAATGTCACTTCAAAAGGAAAATTGTGTTTATGCATAATACATTTCCATGTGCAATGAAAAAAATACACTTTACTGATCTTAATTTACACATCTGAGAGAAGAATGTGTTACTATTATGACTTGCTTATCTAGAATTAGTTTATAGGTGATCTTTATCTCTTTATTGAGATTTAGAAAAAGAGTAACAGAAATTATTAGCAGAATGACTTAGAAAGACCTCAAACGCAGTGTTTTTTATGGTACAATTCTACAATTTCTACAATAATAAATCATGAAGCCAGATAAGTCTCAAAAACAACACATTTGCAAAAATAAAACATGCACAGCACAATTCACATTTGCAAAATCCAATTGGTGCATTCAAAGCACAATTCATAAATACACAAATTCAATTCATAAATTCATAATCCAGTTTGAGAATTTACAAGTAAAAAAACATTAATTTTCCCCAAATGAATTGAATGTGTGCAATTATGAATCGTATTTTACAAATTGTTTCCAATTTTCGAAATGAATTTGTGTATTTGCGAATTGTGTTTTGAATTCAAGAATTAGATTTGTGTATTTACGTATTGTGTTTTGAACTGATGAATTAAATTTGTGTAATTACGAATTGCATTTTCAAATGACAAATTAAATTTGTATATTTACAAATTGCGTTTTGAACTGACGAATTAGATTTGTGATTTACGAATTATGTTTTGAACTGACGAATTAGATTTGTGTACTCACGAATTATGTTTTGAACTGACGAATTAGATTTGTGTATTTGCAAATTGCGTTTTG